GCTGCGCCGTCTCCTTCTTCAGGAACTCGATCTCCCTGTGGACACCGACGCGTGGGTGCACGTCACCCCCCACCCGGTAGCGGGGAGACCCCGGGGAGGTGGGGCAGGTCAGGGGGGACCCTGGGACTTGGGGGTCAAGGTGGGACCGTGCTCAGTGGGGTGGTGGCGCCCAGGGATCTCCAAGGGGATAGTCCATGCCCAGGAAGGAGGGATGCCCAAAAAGAAGCTGGTGGCTCAGGTACGGGTCAACATCAGGGGGTGGTCCATGCCCAGGGAAGGGTCTGGGCCCAGGTGAAGGTCCCTGCCCAGAGGATGGTCCATGCCCAGGGATGGTCCCTTCCCAGGGGAAGGTTCCTGGCCAGGGCTGTGAGCTGCCCAGGAAGGATCTGATGTCCCAGGGATGGGTCCACATCAAGGGAAACATTCCTGCACGAAGGATGGTCCCTGCCCCAGATGATGGTCCCTTCCCAGGGGATGGTCCACGCCCAATGATAAAGGATGCTCAGGAAGGAGCTGGTGGCCCAGGTATGGGTCAACATCAAGGGGATGGTCCTTGCCCAAGGGGTGGTCCATGCCCAGGAAAAGGTCTGGGCCCAGGTGAAGGTCCCTGCCCAGAGGATGGTCCACGCCCGGGGACAGTTTCTTCCCAGGGGAAGGCTCCTGGCCAGGGCTGTGAGATGCCCAGGAAGGATCTGGTGCCCCAGGGATGGGTCCACGTCAAGGGGAATGTCCCTGCATGAAGGATGGTCCCTCCTCCACATGACGGTCCCTTCCCAGGGGATGGTCCGTGCCCAATGATAAGGGATGCCCAGGAAGGAGCTGGTGCCCCAGGGATGGTTCCATGTCAAGGGGAAGGTCCCTGCCCAAGGGATGCGCCCTGCCCAGGGGATGAAGGGTGCCCAGGAAGGGTTTGGTGCCTCAGGGATGGGTTTCTGCCCAGAGGATGGTCTGTGCCCAGGGACAAGGGGTGCCCAGGAAGGGGCTGGTGCCCCAGGGATGGGTCCGTGCCCAGGGAGACGCTCCGTGCCAGGGGGAGAAGGGGTGCCCAGGGCCCGGAGCTGCCCTCACTTTTGCTGGTACTCCTTGATGAGCCTCTTGGCCTTGCTGTACTTGCGCTCCAGGGTCTGGTACTGGGCCTGCGTCTCCTTGAGGTGCTCATCCACAGCCTGGCAGAGGTTCTGCGCCTCCATCCAGTACCCCTCCAGCTTCTCCATCCGCTCCTTGTTCTCCTCCACGCTCTGCTCCAGCTGGGCCTTCTCGGCCCGCCAGCGCGCCTTCTCCTGCTCCAGGCACTGCAGCTGGGGGACAGCGGGGTCAGGGCACGGCACGGCACGGCACGGCAGAGCCGAGGAACAGTCACGACGTGGCATAGCACAACACGGCACGGCACGACATGGTATGGCACAGCAGGGTATGGTATAGCCAAGGAGTAGGTGTGACGTGGCACAGCATGGCACGGCATAGCCAGGGAGCAGGAGTGACATGGCATGGCACTGCACAGCACAACATGGCACGGCACAGCATGGCATGGCATGGCACAGCATGGCACGGCATAGCATGGCATGGCATGGCATGGCACTGCACAGCACAACATGGCATGGCACAGCATGGCATGGCATGGCATGGCATGGCACGGCACAGCATGGCACGGCATAGCCAGGGAGCAGGAGTGACATGGCATGGCACTGCACAGCACAACATGGCATGGCACAGCATGGCATGGCATGGCACAGCACGGCATTGCATGGCACTGCACGGCATGGCACAGCATGGCATGGCATGGCACGGCACGGCACGGCACGGTATGGTATGGCACAGCGCATGCACAGGGCTTGCCAGGCGTGGGAGCGCGCAGGAGGTGGCATGGCATGGCATGGCATGGCACGGCACGGCACAACATGGCACGGCATAGCCAGGGACCAGTCATGGCATGGCATGGCACTGCACAGCACAACATGACATGGCATGGCACGGCACAGCACAGCATGGCACGGCACGGCACAGCATAGCCAGGGACCAGTCATGACACGGCATGGCATGGCATGGCACAGCACGGCACGGCATGGCATGGCTT